GCTGCACAGACTTGCCTTTTCGATCGACAAAATCTGCGCAACACAGGCTTTTCCAGGATGAATCTAAAAGAATTGCCGTCTGACTGCACCGACGACGCTGAACCGAGCAAAGAGAACCATTCTATATACCCATTTCCCATTACCTCTAAGGAAGAGACCCTCAATAAACAAAATATATCGCCTAGGCCAGTTCTTTATCCTCAGGCATTGCGTCAGTTGCTGACCGGACGACGTGATGTTGACACTGCATATGTTCATAGAGAAACAACTGGACCAGAACGCCAAACTGTGTTGGCGGCAGGAGCATTTCATGGTCTAACAGAACCATGGAAACGTATGGTTTATTTAAACTATGAAATATTGAACTATCACATCCGTATTTTAACTATTTTTTGCATTAATTTCCTTAGACACAGCCAGTACGTTGATTTTCTGGGAGCGATTTTCTCCATTATATGTTTACTTTGTTATGTTATGTTTGCTTTATTTATCAAGCTCCAGAACCATTTGCTGAAATAATTAGAAGATTAGATTAATCCAAGAGTTTACAATTTTTCCATGAGACGTTTTCTTATATATTAAAATACGTGATTCAAGAGTTCGTAGTCACTTTTTATTAGTTAATGCATTTTGCTTCATGATTACTACTAACTACGAGCATATATGATTGTGGTATTTTTTATATATTAGTTTTACGACTTGACGCCTCAGAATTTGCACTCCACTTCGTCCCATAGTTTCCTACCAATATTATATTTTAGAATACTAACTAGCTACATCAGTTTATTCATCATTTTCTCTTTTTCATTTGATCTAGCCGAAGAAACTGAAGCTTATAGGGCTGTACTGAATCTTAAATACAACACAGACGAACCAATTGCATCTGGTATCCATGGCATATTGTCTGACTTTAGGTGAGCACACCCCTGCTGTTACTTCTCTTTTAGCTGAATTAATCTAGTCACTATTGGCTAATCTGTTCTAGCATTTAAGCCTGTATGTTGTATGACAATGGCCTTAAACTTAGTTCATTTCTTAACTGGCATACCCGAATTAGGGGAAACCCAGTCCTATCTAAAAATATTGTTATGTATTCTTGTATTTTAATAACTAACTTTGGATTGGAATCCAGAAATGTATTCTAAATATGTGATTACCGGGTAGACCCTTTTGTTTTAAGAGAAAGCAAAATTGCCCGAAGTTTATTTTCCGATTATATTTATATATCATTAAGCTATCATTTGATAGGAACCTTTCATTAGAAGAGGTTGTGATAGTTCATTTAAGGTTGACTAGTGGCTTTCTATCGCATATACTTGATTAAAGATAATTGAATATACTCTTGTCTTTCATTCTTAATATTCTATCCTTTCATGACTAAATGTTTTATATCCCTTTGACCTTTTGTTTACATTTTTTTATATCTGGCTTACCCATCCCAATTCTTTCA